CAGGTGCTTGCCTGCCTTATCCCCTAACTTCCCATTAACTGCCTTCTGGCCACAGCTTGCTTTTCTGCCACTTTGACACAGAGGTCACGCAAACTCACCAGCACTGTGACTTATAGCATGTTCTATGCAACCTGGTTACATCATTGGCAAATGTTTTCCTCAAATGAGACAGGTCATTTTGTAAAGGTCAAAGCTCAGCCACAATAACTAACCGTTGCCTACTTTAATTTCCTATTCAATAGCTACTTCACTTAAACATTCCTACGGTGCTCGACTTACTGTGTTGCAGGCGTGCAGCGGTAGCTGTTCCACTCCAAAGGGAGCTGCTATTCAGGTACAAGCAGAATCACACCCTTAGCGGAGCAGAAAACACTGGCAACAATAGTTTTGCAGTGTCCTGGTGACACAAAACAGGCGGAAGTCTTCATCCATCCATATGGAGATTTTCCTACTGCTACGGTAACCCTTAGACAGCAGCAAGATAACATAGCTAAAAATCAATTGCCAGCAGCCTTGTCGTATCTAACTCGGTAAGCACAGCCAATGAAACAGGATGCAGCCGGAAAGCTGCTGGGCGCTGCGGGCTTGAGTGGCCCCTTGAAGGCCATCGTGATGGGACATGGGATAGAGCAAATGAAGCTGCTTCAACATTGGAAGGAGCCTTCACCCCTGCCCCCCCGGACTCCAGCAATGAGATGTACTAAAAATGCACCTTTGTTGCCCTTGTCTTGACCATAACCAGGGTACCTAATACAGGATCTGTGCTGTAACTGTGCATTAAATGCAAACGTGCAGTGATGAATCTGTTTTCTCCCCCTCAGCCACCCCGGCAGAGATTGCGCGACGTGCCCGCGCTGCTGCTGGCACAGGGGCAGGAGGGCGACAGCTGCGCTCTGACTCAGGTCCCGCCGCGTAGGGCCGGGCGAGGGGCACCGCGAAGCTGCCCCTCGCCGGCACCCGAAGCCGCAGGAGGCACAGGAGCGACCGGTCCTGCCGGCGAGCGCCGGCCGCCCTGGCGG